TGATAGGGAATGGCAAGAGACACACTGACAAAGGAGATTAATCAGAACTGGCTTTGACAAGCACTGTGGCAATTGGACAATTAAAACAGACATTCGGGGTGGGGGGGAGAAGAACGAACTGGGGAGGAGGGTGGAGAAAACAGTGCAACAATGAATGAAAGAAAACCCAAAATCTCTGTAAAATGTTCATTAAAACTAATAAAATTTAATAATAATAATAATAAAAATTTAGAAAAAAATAACGGTACTAGGGAAAAATACTATGTTTTGTTTGCTTTTCTTAGTCTGAAAAAGTCTTTATATGAATGAAAAATCATACTGTTATAGGTTGAGAAGCCATATCTACTATCTTTCTGTCCCTAGGTAATTAAGTTAAAGAGTATTTTCTCACTGCCAAAAGAAAAAAGAACAACAATTAATGTTGTTGTGACATGTCATCAATTCAGAACTGAATCATAACTTAATCTCCAGCAGGTTTTCAGACGCTATAAGAGGAGAGTGCCCCAAAAAAAAAAGGAGACTGCCCATCTTTCTCCTGTGGAGTAGCAGTGGATTCGAACAGCCTTTGGGCTGCTAATGCACTAGGCCACCAGACAAATGTGATCAACCAATATGTATATATTATCCACACTGCTGTTTTTCTATTCAACAATATTTATTGAACATCTTTTATACATACAAAGCAGTGCATTTCTCAGTAAGTGGGAAAAGCAAATAATGTAGAGGAAAGAGACAACTAAACAGGTAAATAAACACATGACAGACAGTGACAAGTGCTATGAAAAAAAGTCATGCTAGACTGGACAGAAGGAGTTACTAGAAGCAGAGGGTGCACTATACTGCGTGTCCAGGGGAAATTTCTCTGAGAAGGTAACATCCAAAGAGAGATCAAAGGAAACTATGTATTAATAAGCATGACAAGAACAAAGGTCTAAGTTGGGAGCATGTTTGTCATGTTAAAAACTAACAAGGCAGTGAATGTAAAAAAGTCGAACAAGGATGGGACAGTGATAGCACATAAGATCAGAAAGGCAACAGAAGACATCTCAAGTAAGCTCACAGACCACAGAAAGAATGTTGCTAAGATGGGATTTTTTTTTTGCTAAGATGGGAAACTAAATGCACAAAAAGAAGAGAATCATGCCTGCTGCACCTTAGATATCAAGAAACAAAGGAAAATACGGATACAGGTACCATTCATATTCATTATCCTACTAAACAACAAGAATAACCATCATTAGTACTTTACCCCTCAACCATCAACTTGGTTCTGCCAAAGACCAAATCACTTAAAAACCATCTGAGCTGTCACTGCTTTTCAAAAGTATTTGTAAAAATCTTTTTCAAAAAGTGCAAATACAAAAGTGCAGAGAACTACGATGAAGGGAGAGGGAAAAAAGCTGTCTGCCAAATACACACAATAAATACTTCAACAAAAAGAAGTATATAAAAAAGTATATAAAAAGACTTAAAAGACTATGACTATTCTCTTTATCAAACTTGAAAGATTTTATCAAGAAGTTTTAAATTTAAAATATTTAAACAGTTGGCTGAAGGCCTGTAATAATTACCTTTTTGTAAAAAGACATCAAGCTGATCTGCACAAAAGGCTTTCAATTCTTTCTCAGGTTTGTCCTTCTTGACCAGTGCTACAACATAGTTGGCTAAGGCTGAAGGGTCAGCATCACATCTAGTTAAATAAAGAGAGAAAGAAACTTTAAAAATACAATTTTAAAGCAATCGGGTTATTGATGAAGTTATCCTTGTTTCTGAAAGTCAAAGGTAAGAAAATATTTTAAAAAGTGATTGTAAAAAAATAAATTAAAAGTAACTGTAAGGCAGGAGTGAAAGAGGGAAACCATAGTTTGGCAGGTGGAAGGAGAGGGGGAAGCAAAGGGGAAGGATCCAGGTGAAAGGACAGGGTAATGATGGGCAAGATCTAATGGTGATAGATTTTATAAAATATAATGCATGAGAATGATTTTATGAAACATAATGTGAGTGAAGAATAGTGTGAAACATAAGGTATATAAACTCTGTAAGCAAATTAATTTTAAAAAATGTAAAATAGAACGTATATGAATGATAGTATGAAACACAATGTAAATGACTGTATAAAACACAATGTAAAATGTACAATGAACAAAACATAATATAAAGGAATTACATAAAAACTAATAAAAATCTTTTAAAGTAACTGTAAATAGGAATGACTATTATAAACAACATACTCAAAGTGAGATTTTGGTTTTCTGTAATCTCTACAAAATAATTAGGGTTTCTTTTTTAAGTGTAATTATACTAAAAATCTTAGCCCAAATCTGCATTTATTTGCTCCCTTAGTGGTAAAAAAGAAACAGTTACAACTAACCCCAAGGTTGCCATCTGACTCCCAGCCTATGGAAACACTGTCAAAATGCCTAGATGTTCCACATGAACAATAAGAGAGTGGAGGAGATGCTGAGGAGCTGTCCTGTCCCTTTTCCTCAAGACTACTCTCCCTATGACCCCAGCCACTCAAACCTTATAGTTCTGTCCTTCTACCCATCTTTTCAATGAGTATTTGTAAAAATGTTCTTCAAAAAGTACAAACACAAGAGTGCATGTACCTTAAAACCAGCAAATATTTTAGAAGCAATAATCAAGAATGAACAGATTAGGATCTGGAATCTAAGAACATGTGGATAAGCAAAGTAGTAGGAGGGAGGAAGAGAGAATCTGTATCTATAGCACTTTAAAAAAAAAAAAAAGTCAGTAGCAACCTGACCTTGACACTCAAAACCATTTCCTATGCCTGGGCAGCACATGATCCTTGGGATGCCATCTCCTGGCTTAAAACAATCTGCCAGACTTTATCCATGTCACACAGAAAAAAAACTTATGTTTTTACATATGGGTTTTTGTTTGTTGTTATTGGGAGTTTTTGCTAAAATGCTGTATTCTCTTTATGAAAGCACATTTATGCAACATATTATTTAGGGCCACACAATAAAGGCTGCTATAAAGGTAGAAAAGAAAACAATTAATAATGAGAATAAAAATATTATGCAAGTAAAGTGATCCGATTTCTAAGAAACCATATTCAAGTAGGTTTTTTTTTTATAATCCTTGGTTTCTGCTGTCAACTAGAAATTAAAAGTTTTAGCTCAAGAATATCAATCACATATCCAACAATTTTATGAGATCAGTAAACAAAACTCAAGCAACACTAGCATCCTTAATTTCTTCTTTTCTATTCTTGTAAAACCTATAATGCAATAAAAGTCAAATCTCTTTCATTACCAATACTAGCTCTGTTAGTGGGAAAAGTTGATTTCTTTAAATATCTTTATTGATTTTATGTCCCATATATTAAAAGTGCCAATTTCAATGAATGTTAATTTTACAAAATTTAAAGAGCCTTTAAAAATATGCTTACAGGTCAAAATGCACTAGAAGGTAGTATAAAGAGCAAAAATAATGAGTTACATATTAATGAAAACATGCAAAACACATTTTGGAAAATTACTGAAAAAAAACAAAACACTAAATAAATACAACTGGCAGCAAGCATCATGACAGGCAGTAAAGAGACTGAGATTGTTAACAGCTTCAGCTGGCTTGGCTCCACAATCAACACTCTTGGTACTAGCAGCCAGGAAATCAAAAGATAAATTGCATTGTGAAAATCTGCTGTCAAGGACTTCTCCAAAGAACTGAGGGGCAACAATGTCAGTCAAGAGACTAAGGAGCACATGATACAGGCCATGGTCTGCCTGGATCTTGCTCTGCATCAGAGAGCTGGACAATGAGTAAGGATGACAGAAAAAGAACCAATGCATCTGAGTTGTGATGCTGGAGCAGAGTATTGAATAGATCATGGACTGCTATGTGAACGAACAGGTTCATCCTGCAGTGGGGAAAATCAAGGTGCTCAACACAAAGAAGGATTCTGAAGCTTTGTCTGACATACTCTAGGCATGTTGCAAGGAAGGACCAGTCCTTAGAGAGGGACATCATGTTTGAAAGGATGGAGGGAAAGTGTGAGAGAGGATGACCTTGGATGAGATGGATTGACTCAGTGATTAGGATAATGGGGATAGGTGTGTCAGAAGCAATGAGGTTGGTTCAAGAGAAAGCAAGGTTCAGATATACTGTACACAGAGTAGCTATGAGTCACACTTGCTGGCATATAACAACAGCAAATACAATTGCTAAATTTCTAAAATGGATATTTAGTATTTCTCTCTTCAAAAATTACTACATGTGTCATATTCATTTTGTCTGTTCTAGGAACATCTTAAAAAGGAAATATAAGTATATAGGAAAAATAGGTAACAATATCACGCTTGAAATAGAAGAATATTAGTAAGTATCATTCTAATTAAAAGTCACACAAATTGTGGATTCTATCTTTATTGAGACCTGGGAAAAGAGCTTATTCTGACAGAGAAAAGGATTTTAAAGTCAGAGAAGTTGGACTATAAGAAGAATGGAGCATGAGAAATAGAGGAAAAGCCTATTAACAACCTACAATATACAGATGACACAGCCTTGCTTGTTGAAGAGGACCTAAAGCACTGAGAAAAATCAAAGATTAGAGTCTTCAGCTTAGATTCAAGGCAACTTCTTGCTCTTATGCTAATCAACTCACAAATGACACTCCTCCAGATTGCACGGGAGAAGACTGGCCATCTTTCTCCATCAAAGCAGCTGGCAGACTTGAATTGGTTTCCTATATTTGGGCTGGTAGTGCAGCTTCCTACCACTAGCCCACCAAAGCTCCCTCCAGTATGTATTATACCATAACACAAAACAACTATCTTCACAACTGGATCAATAAACACCACTGTAATAAAGGGAGAAAAGACAGACACTGTCAAACATCTTACTTGGCTCTACAATCAAAGCCCATGAGAAGAGCAGCCAAGAAAAGTAATACTCTGGGTCAATCTGCTGCAAAAGATCTCTTTAGAGATATCACTTTGAGGTATCTGAAAATATGTCATGGTATCTTCAATTGCCTCATATACATAAGAAAGAATAAGGAAGACCGAAGAGTTGATGCCTTTGAATTACAATGCTGATGAAAAATTCTGAATATAACACTGATATCAAACAAACTGTCATGGAAGTACAAGCAGAATGTTCCTAACAAAATAGCAAAACTTCATCTCAGATATTTTGGATGGAGGGTTGGCTCCCTAGAGAAGGAATTCATTAAATAAAGTGTCACCAGAAAAAATTCTCAGAAAAACAACTAAAATACAGCAATGATTTTGAAGACAGTGCAGAACCAGGCAGTGTTTCATTCTTCTTTACATGGCTGAACTAACTCAACAGCACCTAACAACATAACTCTGTAAAGTATACTATGATGGAAACTGCCAGCCCGCAGTAAAAAGTCACTGTGAGTGATGAAACTTAAAATACATTAGTGAGTTTTGTTCAGCAATTTTTTAGGCTTTATCATTATTTATATTTATTTTTCAACATACTGATCATCTATCTAATCTTTAAAACCCGGCACTTATAATACTGTTGTTGTTGTTGTTACGTGCCATCAAGTAATTTGCGACTCACAGCGACCCTATGTACAACAGCCCTAAACCCTGCTCTATCCTGTGCCAATCGCATTGCCTCTGACACACCCATCCCGATTACCCCAGTC